ATATGCTAGATAAGTGATTCAAAAATTCTGCAAGCGTAGTACAGCTTTTTTTTATTCTTGCTTTGTTCGCTATGCTTACAGAAGAATTAGACTTTTTGGATTTGCTTTTTTTGTTCATCTTACTATTTGTTTGAGAGATTACACACTGTTTGATGAGTACTACTTTCGCTCTTTTAATTACGTTTCTGTGCAAATCGTTTGTCGCTTCCCCTAACTTCACTCGAGATATGCAATCTTCAAAGCGGTTTTAAAAGAATTGTTCATGCGTAATATGAAAATGCATAGTTTCCTTCATTTTTATCATTCATTTTACTTTTTTTCCTTTCATTGCTCTTTCTGCTTTCACTTTTATTCGCAAAGCTTCATGGCTTGTTCTCACCTATTCTATTAGTTTTTTTCTCCATGTTCACTGCTCCTCCTTTCTCTTCATACCCGTAAGATGGCTCAGGTGCTTCCATCTGAGTGTTTCTTTTTGCTTCAAATTTTGCCATTTTTTGCGAATTCTAGTAGTTTTCTCGTTCCTGCTTCTTTATGTTTGCTACGAAATATCTACTGATCTCGTGTGTTTTAATACTGCTTCACTATTGGTTTATGTTGTTGGAGAGACTGGCGAAAGCTCTCATTTACGGATATTAGCTCCTTTCTCTCTGTCATTAATCACCTATCACTTTCACTAATAGCGTTGACTTGAGCGTCGATGCCCCATTCGATTGATTGCTGTTCTCTTCTTCTTATAGCGCACTTCTTCTAACTGAACTTTCCATTTAATGCGCAAACTTTCACTTCGATTCAATCAAGTTTAGATGAGCTCGAGTTTTCTTCTCTTTTTCGAATTTTGTTCATTCTTGAATTGTTATCTTTGGAGAGTAGGTTCTTATAAGAATGAGAGTTTGCATACAAAAGTAGTTTTACTCAAGGATTAGTGATCTCTGCTTAGTGAAATCTTGTCTTTTCTGTTATTTCAGTGAAGCAAAATTCAAATTATTACGGTACTAGTTAGACTTTTTGTAGAAGGCTTATCCGATGTATATAAGAACTACAGAGATTTTTTTTTACCATGGACAGTGCCTACCCAGCCATTCATATTCTAGGCGGCTCGAGGAACGGAAGTCAGGCCCCGCCAGATGTTACTGGGGGTGCTGCGGTGGAAGCGATGTTACGTCGAGTTCGTGAACAACACGAAATCAAGCTGCAGGTGAGGATTCGAATTTGTTTAAGCTCTTCAACCCTTGTTATTTGCCTGCAGTCACTTTATTCCAAATTGGATCACTTGCCTCTTCTACTCAAGAT